GTTAAAATAAGAGATTGTATTACTCAACAAGTGAGCAAAAGCTTTTTGATGTATAATTAGAGTTCATCACTGTCAAAGTAATTTAGAGTTGTGATATTTCTTTATGAAAGCCAAATTCATGCAATTGCCACAGAATAAAATTACTGTAATTGTATTAGACTGTGATTACAGAAATCCATTGAGCCAAGCAACCAAGAAAACTAAAATGAGACACTTTAAAACATTGCACCAAACATCAAGGTCGAACTTTTCCAGGCTATAGTAACCAGCTATAACAATGCTTGAAGACACTTCAGAATATCAGTTACTTAATAGTTGGATCACACTTCAGATGCATTGGCTCCTGCAAGGCAGGCAGTTTATGAAGTGTTTCAAGAACAGGGTTCTGCTTAGGATTGCTACACAGCTAAAGAAGTTATTCATCTTATTCTATAAAATACTTTAAAGAATTGAATTAAATAATCAATGTAATAAAACTATTTCAATTCTGAGAAAATAATCACTTATACGGTAGACTACCACATTCATCATTAAAAATACCAAAAACTACTTTCTGCTCTATCTTATTTTGTACAACATGGTCTACTATGTAAGGTATTAATGGCATATGGTTAGTTATAAGTTTCATGAATTCTCTAACTTGAAAGACGGTGTCTGACTTATCACTGTTTTCATGAGGAGTTATAATTTCTATAAAGTCTCTGATCTGTAGCCAGATGTGGTGACCCACAGCTTTAATTCCAGCACTCAGAAGGCAGAGGCAGGAGGATCTCTGTGAGTTCATGGCCAACTTGGTCTACATAGTGAGCTCCAATCACCCAGAGTTATAGAGTAAGGTCTTTATAAATAAATAAATAAATAAATAACTGATGTTAAAGACGCCGCCTAACTTGTCACTGTATTCATTAGTCATAGACCAATGTGTATAATTGTGGAAACATCATGTAACTTTTAGATTAAACAATTAAATAATTAATTGCATTTACACTGTCTTTTCCAGTGTGTTACCCAGATTAGTTCATTGTCACCAGATCAGACCTCCAATGACTTAAATTAATTTGCATGCTTTAGACTGTTCTTTGTAGTTTGTACAATTTGTAAGTTTGTGTCTGCTTAATTTTAACATTTTACCTTTGGCTTTTGTTTCCTTTTCTTACTATGGAAGCCTTTCTGTTACTGTTTGTATGTTATTTTAGTTTGGGGAACTTCCTTTATTTTTTAAGAGGTCAGAAGGAACAATTTCCCTTAATTTATTTCTTGTGTTTTTCCTCCATCTTGTAATGTGTTTTATGTATTCTTAATTCCTAGGGGACAGTTTCACAAGTAGAGGATTCAATGTTCAGTGTTTTTTGTTTGTTTGTTTGTTTTTTCACTTAGCATTTAAAAGATCATTTCTTCATTCTGGCCTCCATTGGTACTAAGAATAAATATATTTAATTCAAGTTTTAATTTCTTCATACAAAATGTAACATTCACCTGTGTTGTCTTTGGCAGAATTTGATTATCTTATCACAATCAGATTATAGATTTGCTGGATTCTTATGATAAAAGATTTTTCAAGCCATTTTAGTCGTTCTGAAAGGCATCTGTTGTTTCTGTGCTATTTCCCAAAGTGGTCATCTTTTCTAGGGTTTGTCTAGGTTTTTATCTACTTGCTCAAACTTTGGTCCATGACAGTTTGGGTATTCATAGACCTGACGATGTTAACCATGTCTGCCTTGGTGCACTGTTGCTGCTTAGGGTCCTGCTTGGGGATTCTTGGTGTCAAGTGAGATAAGGGATGAGAGAGAGTGAGGCTTGCTTCAGCTGCTAGTTTTTCATCAGCTGCCTGAGATAAAAAGATGAATTCTAATGTAGTTAAATAGAATTTTATCTTTTCCATCATCTTTTCTTTCAAATTTGTATGTGCCTATATTGGCATGTATAATATTTATGAACATTGTCTGTACTTTGAGGTTATGAGATTTTAGCAAAAATTTTAAAATTTTCTCATCACATTTAACATTACCTTTTAAACATGATTTTGAAGATATATTTCTCAATTTTTAAATAGTTGATGATTTATAGAACTAATCTTATCACAGCAACTCAATATGATATTGAAATGTCTAGTCACTGCAACTAAACAAGAATTAAATAGACATTGGAAAGGGGGAAAAACTACTGATGACTATATAAAAAACCCAAGGAATCTACAAAACCTTTTCATAACTAATAAAGCATGTCCCTATAGTTGTCAGACAAAAAAATCAAAGAGCAATATGTTCTCTATCTATCTATCTATCTATCTATCTATCTATCTATCTATCTATCTATCATCTATCTATCTATCATCTATCCATCTGTCATCATCTCTATCACTATTCATCTCTATCTACCTCTATTGTCTCTCTGTTCATCTATATCTACCTTTCAGTCTCATGGAGGGAAAGCTGTACTCATTGGACTTAAACTTATATATCAAAGGCTGCCCTTAAACTCCCAATCTCCTGGGGTACTCACATTTGGGAATGCACCGTTTGCCTAGTCTATCAAATATCATGCATGTTCATTTTGTAAGGATGTCATCAGTTCCCAATGATCTATGTTCAAAATTTACAAAGAATAATAATGTGAGTTCTCTGTCTTCTGCTGCTGCTGTACAAAGAAGAGAGCATGGTACTGGTAAAACAGACACAAAAATGAGTGAATGAGAAATAAACACAGAGATATGACCAATGAACTTTTGAAAAAAAAAGCTACTTAAAGAAGGACAGATAGCCTTTTCAGTAAATGATATTGAATCAAGGAGTTACCCTCTTGGAAGTCCATAGATAAGTGAGACCACTATCTACACCATACAACTTACAACATGAAAACTGATTCTAATTGACCTATGGACTTACATCATAACACCTCAGAAGCCATGCAGGAAAAAGCATACGAGGCTAGGAAAGTCAAATCATTTTTAGACTTGACACCAAAAGTAGGATCCATAAAAGAAAAAAAAATAAATTGTATTTTGTTGCATAGATTTTTTAAGTGTCAATGCATAAAACATGGCAACTATTTGTGATCTAATAATGATTGATTACACAATTGTATAGTTGAAAGGAACTGAACACATGATTTAACATCTACTTAGTAAATTCTCACTTGCTAAATGTTACTTCTATAATATATTCAAATATTTTTCATATTTTCATTGCAAGTTATCATTCATCACTTGAAACACATGATATTATGATTCTCTGTGTTGGGTAGGTTACAATGATGAAATAGAACAAAAATGTATTTAGTAAAAATACCTAGAAGCCTGGTTACTTGTTGAGAAAATAGAACTTGGCTGACTAATTTCTTTTATGATTGAAAGAGATGTTAAGGGACAAAATAAAGGAAGTGAAATTCTCATCAAAGGATGACTGGATGTATGGATGGAAATCTAGACCCCAGCTTTGTCTCTTAAGCAGTTAGGGAATAAGGGTTCTGTTTTGGCCTCTGTAAAGGATTATTAATTATGTTGTATGTGTAAGCAGAATACATGTTTGCTTCCTTATACAAAAAAGAAAACCTGATAGACAACTATAAAGAAATGAACCTGCTTATTATAACTTAGTAAGCCCCAAGATACTAGAATTACAAGCCACATTAAATGTTAAGTGACAGATAGCTGAAACATACCCCAATTGTCAGTTGTTCCATGGTAGATGGGAGAAACATGTTCTCACTTCCCTGGAACCCACCCTGCAGTAGTTTGTGCTTTGAGTTAAAATTATCCCTGTGTTCTCAGTAACCCCAACTGATGTCATCACTAGGAAAATGGCAGGAAACTGAAGGAAACCCTCCTTGGGTTAAGTCTGATATAATTGCTTTCTCAAAAGCCCAAGTATCCTGTTCTCATGTTGACAGGGGAAAAAACATGATTTCCAAGTGAGGAGGCTGACAGCCCTCAGGAAGCTGTTGGAAGCATGGGTCTTCTGGCGTGGCATAGAAGGGAAACCTGTAAATCTAACCTAACTGTGAGAAAGGATAAACTGGAGGAGAAATATAGACTTTGGGTGCCACATGCAATACCACAGAGAAAGTATACCTAGAGCCTTATCAGTAAATATTTTGTTTTCCTCTGGTCCCAAATTTGTAGCAATCTCCAAACAAAAAATAATATAGGAAAGGGGAAAAGTTTTTAAAAGAGGTAAGAAGGCCTCTTTCACTGAGGTCTCAGGCACAGATGCATTCATAGGGGGTATCAACAGGAACTGTATCTGGGCTGCCCTACCTCCTGTGTACAGCTACTGAGGCTGAGCTCACCGTGGAAAGTGGAGCCACTGGTTGGAAGAAGATTCTTGCAATGAACATCACCAAAGCAGGGAGAATAGAGTGCATGCCACGTTTTCACAAGCTGAAGTGAAAACATCCAATTGATTTTCACAATTGGTCATAATTCACTGCTGCTTTGGGAGAAAAAAAAGCATGTTTAGCTGGGCCTGAAATAGGCAGGCAGAGTGGGTGCAAAATATTAGAACATCTTCCAGATGCCACAGTACTAGGGTGGAACCATCCCCAGACCTGGAAAGAACCAGGGGATGTAGTGTCAGCAAAAGTGCCAGCCCTGGAAGCCAGGCTTGGCCACCAAAAAGCACTGCGGAGAGGTGGTTTCCCTTTCTGATTCACGTCTTGTCCCTTTCCCAAGGCCACTGCTGCAGGGACACTTTTAACCAAAACTGGATGATCACAAACCCAAGAAGTGCTGCTAATGCGGACTTGGTTTGGCACGATTCCGGACTCACAGTCTGACTCCTGTTAAAGCCCTTAGCTTGGTTCCCTAACAGTGGAAGTTAGATCAAACACATTCCACAAGTCAGAATTCCTCATTGTAAACATGCAAAGCAGGGAGAGCTGGATTGGCAAACGTGTCAGATCACATCCCTAATCTTACAGTGCATCCCCCCAAACACAGGAGAGGTTTTAGAAGGAAATTCAGGAGTTAGCACATGAAATGTGCTATCTTCAATCACCACCACTAATTTTCCCAAGACAAACTTTATTGAGGCAGCAAGTGGTACACTGAAAGGGGAGAGTCATGCCTTTGTCCCACTGCAGGTCAGATGTCCCACCCTCTGAAAAAGGGAGTGTCATGAGAGAAAGATGAAAACCAGGTCATCTGCCATACACTGCCTGGAGAGTGCTTACATCAGGTTTTTCTCAACTACATGTTTTTTCCTTCTTTAGCACACACTTTGGTTTTATTTGGGGGAAAATAAAACAAATGACAGAACAACTTGCTCCAACTGAGAATTGTTTCCCCCAGAGTTTCTTAGGAAATGACACAGCTGCCCTTTTCTTTAAAGGGATTCTTGTCTTCTGGAATTCCCTTCACCAGGGGATCATCTCCAGAACGTTCTTCGATGTAGTTCTTTATTTCTTCAGAACATTTAGACACCTGAAGTATAAAAAAAGGGGAGGAGGTGTCAAAAGAAATAAATTAGGTCAAGGATATTGAACTTTGCCGCTGGCTAACTGTGAATTATAGTAACTGTGAAGTTACTATAATTTAATAAATAAGCTTTAGTCTTTAAAGACAATATTATTTTAAAAATTCTTCTTAGACTCTAAGATTTTGATTTTATTCTACTTATATATGTGATACAATCTATGAGAAAAGTTCTTTATTGTTCAAGAAACAAACGCTTGGAAGTCATTGTATTAATAGCTCATCCATGAAAATTTCTATTCATGTTTGTCACATGATTTCCTTACTCTCTAAAACAAATCCATCATATTCAAATTCTCTAGGTAACAGTCAGATATTAGTCAACCTTCAGACGTCAAAGACTGTGTCACAGTTTTCACATAAGAGCTTATGCCACACTCCAGAACTCCACATAGGGAAATGCTAACTGGAAATGTTCGATTTGCCCACACCTCTCCCAGTCTTGCCTCAGAATTCCTCTGACAAGTAAGACAATGACTATAATGAAGACTTTCCTAGGGGCTTAGTAGGGTTATCTGAGACTCTGGCATCTAAGGAGTCAGCTTAAAGTTTTCTTCCACTGGGAAAGTATTGAATACTTTCTTCAAAAATTCTATCAGTTAAGAGACAAGTTGTGTGTTTAAGGTTAAAAAAGAGAGACAGAACAAATTTGAAATTAAAAGCAAGATTGGCTGTTTTCATAAAGATCTGTTTTATCAGTAAGAACTTTGAAGTAACACTCATATACGGGTTTTAGACATAGAGCAAAGGATTACCAGCCCACAATCCACACTGCCAGAGAAGCTAGGAAACAAGAAGGGCCCTAAGAGAGACACACATGGTCTCCCGGAGAAGGGGACAGGGACAAGATCTCCTGAGCTAATTGGGAGCATGGGGGAGGGGAGAGGAAGCTAGGAGAAAGAGAAGCTAAGAAGAGGAGGGGTGATGAGGATATGAGGGAGCAGGAAGATTTAGTCAGAGGAAGAATAGAGGAGAGCAAGAAAAGAGATACCATAATAGAGGGAGCCATTATAGGTTTAAAGAGAAATCTGGCACTAGGGAAATGTCCAGAGACCTACAAGAATGACCCCAACCAACAATCTAAACAATAGTGGAGAGACTACCTTAAATGCCCGTCTCCCATAATGAGACTGATGACTACCTTATATGCCATCCTAGAGCCTTCATCCAGTAACTGATAGAAGCAGAAGCAGACACCCACAGCTAAACACTGAGCTTCACTCTGGAATCCAGTTGCAGAGAAGGAGGAGTGATGAGCAAAGGGATCAAGACCAGGCTGGAGAAACCCACAGAAACAGCTGACCTGAACAAGGGGTTGCTCACGGACCCCAGACTGATACCTGGGAAACCAGCATAGGACTGTTCCAGAACCTCTGAACGTGGATGTCAGTTTGGAGGTCTGGGCAATCTATGGGGCCTCTGGTAGTGGATCAGTATTTATCCCTAGTACACGAATGAACTTTGGGAGCCCATTCCACATAGAGGGATGCTCTCTCTGCCTAGACACACAGGGGAGGACCTAGGCCCTGTTCCAAATGATACGTCAGACTTTGAAGATTCCCCATGGAAGGCCCCACCCTCCCTGGGAAGCAGAAAGGGGATGGGATGGGGGTTTGTGAGGGCAGGGGAGGAGGGTAGGGAGAGGGAACTGGGATTGACATGTAAAAAATACTTGTTTCTAATTTAAATTTTAAAAAGGAAAATAAATAAATAACAATAAAGGCATGTTAACTCAAGAAACAGAAGTTTAAGTATAAAAATAAAGACTGATGAAAAGTGGGTATTATCAACGATGGTTTGTGTTTTAAATTAGTACCTTTTGAGTGACCTCACTCAAACATATATATCCAAACATGCATAATTATTTATAAATAAGTGCAGGTATCATGGTGTTAGCACATCATGCATAACTGTAAAACATAAACTAGTAATTAAAAATGAGATTCAAAATTAAACTGAAATAGAAATCTCATTATGTCATCATTGCCTTCCCACACCCTAAAGCTCTATTTGCATGGTAGTATGTAGAACCCACTGGTTCAAAATTTAAAACTAGGTTAAACAGTTGCAGGAATTAAAATGTGATAATAAATAATATCCTGCCAAGAATCTAACTATTTCTGGCACTCATAGTATGTGTTTTTGAAAGGAATTCTCAGAGTTGAGAAAGAGAGTGTTAAAAATCTGGAGTCTGTGGGTCCAGCAAAACACCTGAATTAAGATCCATGTTCCCCACTGTTCTTGCAGAGGCTTTTTCATTGGGTTTCTGAAAATGTCTGTTATCTCTGAAAGTGGGTAATTGCCCCTTTGATGATGAGGAGGATGCATCTGACCACTAATTATCTGCAGACAGATGTGACCTGTGGGTGTACTTGAGCAGAGCACCTGTCCCAGGTGTCAGCGAAAGATTGACAGGATAGCATGGAGGGCGACTGTAGAAACACTTCTGAAGGACCTGTCGTGTGGCTCTCTGTGGGGTTGAGAAAGGAACTAGTTAGCCTCTCTGGGATTCAAGGGTCTTTCTTCACTCAAGTGAGGGATTGAGTGGCCCCCAAGCACCACAGTGCTCACTCGGCACTAATACACTAATACACTTCACACTGAAAAGAAAATGTTTGAGAACTGTGAGGCCTGAGACGGCCCTCTGTGTGTCCAAGAGAATCACCCTAAATCTTTCTGTCTTCCTAGCAGACACTCCCAGGGAGAAACCGCTAACAAGTGATGCTTGATATTTACATTGACACACACAGCCAGGACGCTGCCTGATGTCCAAATTGAAATTTAAAGAAGAAACTTGTCCCTTCACACACCCTGTAACTTACACTCTGGGACGCTAAACATTCAAACACCCCAACTTCACAAAGACAAAGCATTATTTCAGCCTACACAATGCTATTCAATGCGCAGTCCCTCGGACTAACATTTGTCAAACTCAGGGCTTTTGACATTAGCCCAAACAGTCCCCTTCAAGAAAACAAGATTATCCTATGGTCCTGTCAAAGGCCTTATTCCTCTAATCATGCGATTTCTTAAAGTTACAAGGAAGAGAGGATGTCCCACTGTGAAATCTAGGAATTGGTATGAAGCAAAGGGCTAAATTTGGGGGGGGGGGCAGGTGCATAAAACAGTGAAACTCAAAGAGTTAAGGGATCTTCCAGTGATCGCTGAGGAGTACCAAAACTCTTGTTATGCATGTTTGAAGCCTGTTTATATTATTCACTTCATTTCCTTGTCTTTTAATTTTTTTTCAAATATTAAACTGTAAACAGAGGGGAAAAATCAAGAGTCTTAAGTGTGGCTCATAAATGGCCACATATACACTGCCCTGAGTTTGAACCCCAGGAAACTTTAAAAATAAAATCTTTTCAACATTTTCTTGCTGTGGAAAAAAAGAATAATTTTCTTCAAAATGAACAAATTATTCACAAGCCTTTTTCTAAACTACAGGCTGCCTGACAGGGTGAGAAGAGAAGATTAATGTAATGAAGGCTTCTACTACCTGCAAGAAATTGAAAAAAAAAGTTTCAAGCCTTTCATGGAGTTTCAGTGGAGAATCCTGATTTTTTTTTCTTTTTTTTTTTTTTCATTTTCTGGGCAGGCTGGCCTGGAACTCTTGACCCTCCTGCCTCCACTTGCTAAGAGCTTGGGAATTAGAGGCATTTACTGCCACACCCAGCTTTAATTTTTTTTAATTTGTAGCCATATGTCCTTCAGTTTAAATATAATTATGTTTATAAGTAAATACAGAAAACACCGTGTTAGTTGTTTGCAAGCTTAGGACACTAGTTGAGAAACTGCCTATGCTGTTCAAATAAACAACTGAAATTCAGGCAGTTTGCTCCTAAGCCCCAGTGGAGTTAGGGTCTTTGAAAATCAAAGCTAAAATCGTTAGGAGATTTCAAAATATGGTTTTAGAAAAATTCTCTTATACACCATCCTTTCCAGACTAGATGCCAGCAGCCCTTTTTGGGATGTGTGTCCCTTTGGGGACTGTCTTGATGATATTTGGTTTTATATTATTTATTAGTTACTGGTTCTTTTCACCTTTTACGGTTTCCCCATGTCATCTAACAGCTCCAGGCTTCTACCAGAGCCCCCTTAAAGAGAAACTGCCAGAAGAAAAACACACCGGCTAACCAGAACTGCTGACCGTGGTGCATTTCTGAGAGGGCATTCCGGAATAGTAGGCCACCTTACCTGTTGTCTCTGCAACTTAACTTCTTTGCGAAGTTGCTCAACCTCCAACTTCAGCTTTTCCTTTTCCGACAGATCCTCAATGTGGAGGGCAGGCATCTTTGCCCCCAGAACTGGGCCCAGGATTCACTTGTGCAAGGGAGCCACTGGAAGCGCCTAGAACCAGGACGCTCCCCCAAATACGCGCCGGCCCAAGCTACCCGCCCCCTCCAGCTCAGGACGTGACTGGCTCGGGAACCGAGGCTCCCAGCTCCCCGGGGGCTCGGCTTCCTGCCCAAGCCTACTCCCAGTGGCCTTTCCCAGAGTCCAAGCAACCTCAAGGCGGCTTCTCCAGGCCCCACCAGCCCTGTAGCCAGGCAGCTTGCAGAGGGTTAAGCACGGGCCATCCTCCTGGCTGTTCTGGGCAGACTGCAGACCCTGCAGAACCAAGTCACAGCTCTGGGCAGGCCTGGCACAGGACCCTTGCCACGCCCGCGGGAGCTGCTGGTCTGGATACAAAAGTTTTACTTTTGTTCCTTTAGTGTGTGTGTGTGTGTGTGTGTGTGTGTGTGTGTGTGTGTGTGTGTGTGTGTCTCGCTTTGTGTGTGTGTGTGTGTGTATGTGTGTGTGTGTGTGTGTGTGTGTGTGTGTGTGTGTGTGTGTGTGTGTATGTGCGTGTGTGTCCATCCAGCTTACATCCGGGTTTTGTTTAAAGCCAGGAAAAGGACACTACTCTGCAGGAAATAACGGTCCTTTACCTCTCCAAGTTTTAAAAATACACAATATATAACTTTTCCATATATGTAGTGGGGAAAGTGGATATTTGAAAAAGAGAAAAGAAGCGCAATATGGATCTCAGCTATGTCTCAGGATTATCCACCAAAATTGTGTTGACACGTGCTTAAAATTAAAAGGCCTTTGACAAATATGCTTGGAGGAACAAAGTGGTTTGAGATAAGGGTGCTTCCTGTTGTCAAACGACCATCTGCATTCTCAATATAGAGTTTTCACTTTGTCAGGGAAGATGTTTTGTAACCCTGGGAGAATAAAGGGACATCATGAGAAACTAACAGGAGGCTTAAAGCCCACTCCCAAGTTCCTCCCATCGCCCAAGGCTCGGGAGTACACGTCTGCAAGAAGGGACATTTTTCTGCTTTATGTTTCTGAATTCCTGGTGGACTTTCTTTCCTGGATGTAGGCGGCACAGCCACTTAGGATAGCTTCTCCCACTTTTCTAGAAAGGAATGTTCACAGAGCTGCAGCCTCAGAGAGCCAGGAAGGTACCTACGGGAAATAGTTTAACGGGTACTGTCAACTTAGTTCCCTTGTTCATAGTGTAGGAAGAGAAGAAAAATATAATGCAAATGAAGGAGACCTGCCTTTGCAGTAGAATACTCCCCCTTTCCCCCAGAGACAGCCTTCCAACTAATAGTTAAATTGGATGAAGAGTTACCCGACCTTTGATACAGAATTGTTCAGCGTGCACACAGTTTTAACCAGGCTCTGCCCACTGCCCTCACTGAATATATTAAGATGAGGAACAATGGGCTCTTTGGTAGCCCTTCCAGCACTTCCCAGAGCCATCACCGAAAAAGTCACTTACGTTTTCTGGGTTTTGTTTTCCAGCTCAAAAAATACCAGCCAGGGAAGGGGCTGAGCTGCCGAGGTGCATTGTGTCTCTAGGGGTGCCTAAAAATGATCAATCTTTTTCACAAAGAAAATGTTCACACACTCCACCTTCTGTATTTGGAACATCAGGATCTCCCTGACTTAAGAGTCCAGCCATTTGGCTAAGTTTTGCTTGTTAGTAAACAGTCAAGACAAACTCACATCTGTCTGAAGAGCCAAATCATTCTTTTAAATTTCCTATTTCTTAACTTTAAAATGTTGGCTAAAAATAGCTTAAGTATCCTAATGGAAGTTAAATGAATGTGGGCTAAAGTAAACAAGTCTCATACCAAAATTAAGAAAATTAAGGTACATATGTCTGCCTTAAGTGATAAAATTAGAATTACTCTGGCCTATATGTTTCTTCCTTGTGAATCAGTCAGCTAGAAAATGTAGGGATGCTTATGTATACACCCATATTGGTTGCTTAAATTAGAAACATTATGTATTCATCTATATTTTTGCTTTCATTATCAGACAATTCACACTGTAATATCTTTTAAAGATTAATTAACCTAAAATATGAAATACTAAGATTTCATTATCACTCAAGATTTTCAAAAATCTTCTGTTGTTCTTTGGTTTTAAGTGGTAAAATGATGAGGTAATTTAAAAAAAAATTGTGGGGTGGGAGTATTATAGACATTTGACCTTAAGTTTTGAATTTACCTTCTGGAGTATAAGATAGGGAGATGGCTGCAAACACCATCTTTTGGTCAGGTGCAATAATTACAATTATAAATGTATAGTAGCTGCTGATTTCTGCACTGAGGCTACACAATAGTAAGTCTATTACCAGCCAAGCATGGATAGAGGAGTGGCTCCAGGGTCCCTATTGGTGAAGTATTGGCTACTGATTGATTCTGGGGGAAGACTTATTGTTTTTGGTTGTCTATCCACTGATAATCCCCCTAGGTTTCATTGTATAGTTCCATACTTATGGTCTAACAGATGGCCCTGATTAAACTCAGTGGCTCACAAAATGAAACAATAAGGCATGGATTTGAAAAGGGACTAGGAAATTGAGTGTTGAAAACATGAGAAGTGTTGTGAAGAAAATAATCAGAATATATTATATACATGCACAAAACTATCCAAGAAATATCTTAATTAACAAAACAACAAAACATAGTGAAGGTTTATAGCAGAAGGTATCTAGTGTGGACCTCTGACCTCCGCACACATACAAACACACATATACTAGATACATACATACTCACACACACATACACTAACATACAGTTACACACACTGACATACACACAGAAAAGCAACTATTCTGCACATTTAAACTGTAAAAAACATGACATTTAAATCAAATTTTTCATTTTATTTTAAAATTACATTCCAAATTACTCAAGTTTAATGTTAAAATTATGTGAAGTTCTTTATAAAAATACCAAAGTAAGTCATGCTGTGGAAAAAAAAAGTACTAACTTAGAATTTTGGAACAGTGCTCTGCCCTTTTTTTATTTTGTATGTTTTAAAGAAACTTTTTTTCTGCTTCTCTTTTGTTAGAAAAAAATAACTAGGTTACAGACCAGACTCTGACTTCTGAAATTATAAAAATAAATGGTAACAGATTAGGTTATTAAAATGCTAGTTTCTTTAAGAAAGGCATTTTAGCACATATTTGATTTACTCAATTCATTTGCTTTTTTGGAGTTGCTAAAACCAATCCCAGGGCAGTTTTGAGGGCTTTATGCTCATTGCAGGTTTGCCACACACGTGCGCTTCCTGTTTTATTTGAGATGCCTTCAAATCAAGAAGGACCTGAATCTGGTTCTCTAAACACCTCCACAGCTATTTGTAATTCACTCTTCCTAAGAGTTTTCTTTTGCAAAATCTTCCTATAAGACTTTAAAATCCTATCACAAACAATTGATGACTCCTATCGTTAAAGTTAACTAACGATAAAGTTTTCACATATTATGACTTTCTTTAGGAGTCTTGAGATCAGAATTTTTAAAAATGTGACTCAAATCAAATCAATCTAAATTATAAGAGATGTTTTTCCTCCTCTTTTTGCTACTCTTCCTCAACTTCACCCTGCTTCCTCCTCCCCATTCTTCATCTTCTCCATCTTTTGTAAATCCTCAACTCACCTTGTGCTTACACCTCAAAGTGTAAGGGACTCAAAAGACAAACTCTGTAATTTCTCATTCTTACTAATACACCAGCAGCCAAACAGTGAGGCATTTTAGGAGGTTTTGTTGTTGTTCTTTTGCTTTTGCTTTTGTCTCCCTCTGTATTAGCCAATTCTTCTGAACCTAGTAACCCCTGGCCCTGAAATGACAGTTTTTGAAAAAAAATAGTCATTGTCAGTTGCAGCTGTGCAGTCTGGGGCAACAGTTACGACTTCATTTCCTTCTTTTTGCGTATCTTTCTCTACAGTTCTTCCCTTTCATTTCTTGTTTATTCAAAATTCATCCAACAATATGCATTTTTAATCAAAAATAAATTTAGCTTACTGACATAAGGATTCTGCCTCATCTAACATTTGGCAAGTGCTGAGCTTTGCTGCTCTTAATTGGATTAAATATTAATGAAGTCAGTTTAGTTCCAGAAAGAATTATTAGGTTAGTCAGTTTCAAAGATGAAGAGGCTTGGGGAAATTATGATATAGCATTGAAATTAAGAGTACAAATTATATAAAGAAAAGTAATATAATATGAAATGACTTTAGAGGTATACAACAATAATCTTGAGGGACTGAAAGAAATTGTCTCAGAAAAGACAGCTTTCAAAGGACTGAAATAGAGTAGAGAGGCATCTGAGGTATGGGGATCAATGTGACCAAATTTCACTGGGAAGATGAAGGCAACCTGTCAGCCATTCCGTCATCTTCACAAGAATTCTACAGGCATTATGGTGCATTTTCTTAAGCCTTCTATGTGACTATTTCTGATCCAAGAGATTATAAATACCCAAATAAAGATCGCTTTTAGTTCATTTTATGAATTTCAAAAGGACATTTCAAAGAGCTGGTGTTACTTGTCCAAAATTCTCAATATAGTAGAGCATGGGTTTTAACTTTGAACCATCAGACTTCAAAACCTATATCAAGTTGTAGTATAGAAACTATATACAATTCTTTAGAGCATGTTTTGCATATTTTTGAATGTCCCAACAAAGAATTTGCATTTAATTAGAAAAAAGGAAATATAGATCACTTCCTTAAATGAACAGGAACTTCCAGGTGGAAAACTAGAGACAGACTTCAGTCAAATAAACAATTACACATAATAATACCATAGGTGGTGATGAATGCCATGGAAGAACAAAGACTGGGGAAGATGAATGGGAATGCTGGGTTTGGGGGAATGGATTTTTGTACTTCTAAATAGGAAAGTATTTCTCCTCAGGAAAACATTGATGAGATTGCATAATTTACCCTGAAGTCTTATGACATAAGGTTCTTAAATGAAGACCTTCAGGAGAGGATGCTGATGGCTTCAGCTGGTGACCCAGAGTCCTGACCTCAGCCATCTGCCCGTTTACTCTTCAGAATCTATTACATTTTCCTTGTTTGGGAGAAAATTGGTTTGGATAAGTAGCAAAGGGTATGTGTTGAGAATTTCATGTGATCTAAATGGAGAGCACTGAGCTGACTTCAGACTGTCTGCTACAACCAATAGTAGACAGTTTGCATTCTGCCTCCAAAACGATGGCCTTCACTTTGCATTGGAGTATTCCGATGACTGAAGCACTCAGAATCCATTGTCCATGTGAGATAGCAATAAGAAAACAATGATAACAAAATAGTTTGGTTTGGGTATTACACTTGCCATCTCCCAGAGAAGCAGAGACAAGATGGCAGCATCATTTTGTCTGTGGTTTGCCCT